GAACTTATGACACAGCAGGCATCATGAACTTGAGATTCTCATCAATTCTACATGTTCCTCCCAGGTTCCATAAGGGTAGTTCAAATGCAGGTCCAAGTAGATGCTGCATAAACGGTGGATTTGTATCAGAGGTGAGAAATTTCAAAGTTAACAAATATCCAAATGTGTAAGGGATCCTTTAACAAACCTGCCTGACCTTTGCCCCAGGAGAAGATATTATCTCCATTTTACCAGTCAAGAAACAAATCTGCCATCTACACTATCTTTGTTTTCCAAGGTTGTTTGTTATTCAGATATCCTTGAAAAGAGAGTCTGAACAAATTTTGTCATAAGATAATAGAGATGTAAGGCACACATAAATTTGTCTTCTAAAATATGGTCCCTCATCTTCAATGACCTTTTCTTTTTTTTAATGTTCTTTTCTTAATCTACTTTATAACTTCATTTTTATACATGAAACTTGTCATCAGGAGAACAGCAGCATCTCTAAAATACTGATTTCAAGCATTCAAAGTTTGAAAAGTGCTTCTTATCCTTTGAATATATTTTAAAATCATCCTGCAAAAATTTTCCAGTCTCATTGTCTTTGAATATTTGGAATCCATTCTTTGTTGGTATTTATCTATCTTACTTTCTTCCTTATATGACAATAGAATCTAAGGTCCATCATTATAAGTAATCTCTTATAAAATTCCTTAAATTCTCTTTTCTTATCTTCTTCCATTGCTTTCCTGAAAACTTCAGTTTTGTTAAAACACAGTTATCCCCTTCTTGTACGTACTGTACCACTTCTAGAGAAGATATTTGAGGATATTTGATACATTTCTAAAAACTTCAAATTGCAACCTGTAAAATATATATTTGCCTAATTAATTCACTTACCACTGTCTATGATCACTATTTCATAATACCACATGGAATAACAATCTAAGTAACAACAGAGAAAGACTTTCTAAAGATAATGAGTTTATTTAGAAGTAAGCAGAAGGTTTGTAATGTTGGCTATACCTTCACTGGTACACCAATGGCATATTCAAAAAGACTGAAGTAAAGGGAAATTTGTAATGGCAAAAAAAAAGAAGTCATGTAATTTTTTGGGAAACAAATAGCTCATTAGTGGCGACAATGTATGTTATGGTTTGTGTCTGGCTGTTCTCACAAAGCCTCATGCAATCATGAGGGGTGGGCTTGTCAGAGGTGGCTGAATTTAGAGTTTGTGATTGATTCACGGTCCAATGCTGGGACTAAGGGTATGAGTGCTACATGAGCCTTAGGTGGCTCTATATATCATAGTCTGCATATGACATAAAGGACAGAAAGAGGCTCATTCTCCCTCCCTCCTCTCTTGTTGCTTTTGCTGTCTTTCGCTGCCATGAACCATTTCCCCTCTTCCATGTGCCACTTTGCCTTGAAGCTAGCTGATTTTAGACTGAAACCTCTTAAAAACTGTGAGCTAAATAAACCTTTTCTCCTCGAAGTTTGGATGTTGGGTATTTTGCCTCAGCAATGAGAGAAAAGAAACTAAGTGTATTAGGCAGGTGTTCTTGTACATCAGACTAGGTATCCTTCATAACTTCATGGTTTTATTTCTTCATTTATTCAGAGTTTGACGCATGTAACTCCATTTTGATTCTGACCACTACAGAGGAGTGACTACAGTGTTTTGAAACTAGGTAGAAGTGGTAGTTACGAACATTGTGAATGTACTAAATACCACTGAAACATTTATTCTAAAATGGTTAATTTGTTATGCAAATTTTGGTATCCCTTCCCGTAGGTTTTGTTAGCCCTTTCCCCCTGTGTCTTAATTATAATTGATGATGTGAAATCCCGTATCATGTTTCAACTTCCAATTGGATGAGGCTCAAGAACACACAGATATGCTCTAGTATTTTACATTCTAAATGACAATAACAACAAAACATACAATTCCCATTTGATCTCTTCTTATAATCATCTAGAGATGTTTTTAAAAATACCAAATTAATCAGAAGCTAGAGATAGCACTGGTTTGAGTCTCTGGCTTACAGTAACCAACCACCCTATTGCTATCTGTTAAAAAGGCTTTTAACTCCAAATAACAGAAAATCTAATTATATAATGGTAAAAATAAGGTTTTTGTTTTTTGTCTTTAATCTCATGTACAAGAAGTTAGACAGGTTGGTAGTCCTAGGTTGGTGCTGCAGCTAACTCTACCAATGTTACTAAGAACAAATATTCTCCTCTATCATCAGTGTACCATCCTCAGTATAGTGGCTCTTTACTCTCCATCTTGACAACTGATGATTAAGATGGCTGCCAGTGTCAAGGCTTCACTCTAATATTCCAAACAGAAAAAAAGGGCACAGGTAAAAGCTTTCTCTTCATAAGGCTATTGTGGAAAGGTTGCTGTCCACTATAATACGTTCTATTAGCCACAACTGACTAATGTCTCCATATGTAGTTTATCAACATATAGCATAAACTGTGAATTTTGCCTTAAAATGTATCCTGGTCTGCCCACTTCCATCTCTATTACCACTATACTAGCCTTTACCAGGACTCCTGGAAAAACTAATTATTCTCTGGGCCTTTTTTAGTTGCTACTCATTATTTAGCATAATATTTTTAAAACATAAAATGGATGATGACAATGCCCTGTTGAAAAAATCTTCCAATAGTTTTTAGCTGCATTAAGAACAAAATCAGTCAGGCTTGGCAGCGCACGCCTGTAATCCCAGCACTTGGGTGGCTGAGGCAGGAGGATCGTAAGGGTTAGAGCCCATCCTAGGCTAAAAAGTGAGCTCAAGGCCAGCCTAAACTGCATAGGGAGACCCTGTCGTAAAAATTTAAAAAAAGACAACAAAAGGAACAAAATCAAATGTATGGCCTTTTTCAGTGCTCTATAAAATTGGCATCTTCTATGTCTTTGTCTTGTACTATTTTATCCCTCATTTATTCTGATCCAAACACAACGGTCATCCTGACTTATTTTTTTCTGAATATACTAAGGTATATCTGCCTCGTGGATTTTTTGAATCGGATGAAATGAGAAACCATTATACTTCTGAGAAGGCCTAAAACCCAAACCATTGGCAACAAATGCTGGTGAGATTGTGTGGCAACAAGAAATATTGTTCATTGCTTATGGGAATACAAAAAGGTAGAGGCACTTTAGGAGTGGGTATGACAAAACCAAACACACTCATTATATGATCAAGTGCTGCCTCTAGCATCAGTTCTATATTGCTTCTTCTAAAAGAAATTCCATTTTCTCTCTACCTTCGTTCCTACCTCTCACTTTGTTAACTTCTATACCTATTTAGAAGATTCAGAGTTATTTCCTCCAGGTATTTCTGATTCTGTTGTCCTAACATCCTAAACTTCCCTCCCTCAAGGCCATTTACCAGGTAACTGTTTGTAAAATGGAGAATGAACAAATGTCCAAGTGGGAGTTGTGTTGGTGGAGGAGAGTAGGGAAAAATTTACTATAATACGCAAAATTTGTGAGAGTAGTAATGGATTAAATAAGTTGGAAAAAGGATTAGTGGTAATTAGGGCTAATGCTCAAACTCATAAAGAGTGAAGGAATAAAACAGGTTGTTCAGAGAAGGAACTCTGACAATGGGCTTTAAAAATAAGGCCAAATGGGTATTTACCTGGTTAAAATATTATAGGCATTTTCTCTAAATTTCCCCTCCTTTCTCTAAATTTCTCCTCCTTTGGTTTCAACTGCTTCAATATTGTAGTCACTATGCCCTATTTTTTTTTATTTCCTAGTAAAGAAATTAACTTCTCTCCCCCCTTTTTTTACACATAATTCGATTTGATCGTAAACATTTATATAAGCCATTCTTCCTGACTGAAGTGCCCTTTCTGACTGGATTGTCTATTCTGGCAAACTAGATAACTCATCATTTTTGTCTCATATGTTTTTATGGTACTTTGTATCATAAACAGTTGACTCAACCCTGACTGCTATAAAACAAAAAATGCATTTCAAGTCTGAACCCCTTTAGAGTACAGTCTCCTCACTGCCACACAAATAATCGAAATTTCTGATTATAACCTAGCTTTTCAGCTCATTTCCATCCAAATTTTTTCCCTCTCTTTTCTTACTTACTGGGGTGTGAATGCTTTCATTAATTTCACCCACTAACTTGGGTATCCATCAATTTATGCCTATTCTCTGGGGATGTACAAACCCCCTCCATTATTATTATTCATCACCCAGCAGTCTGAAGAGTACCTGGCATGTACCATGTGCTCAATAAATACTTGACGTGTAACTAATGAGTATCAGGAGTGCAAGTGACCTAAGAGCAATACTAGTCTGTGGAATAAGAAAAACACTTTTCAGTTACTAGCAATTAATTAAAGCAGCCTATTTTACTTCTACACCTGTTCTCGGCTATTTCTTGTTTCAGCAGGGAAGGCGGTAGACAAATGGAGGTGTTTTTAATGTGTTTATTTCTGGCGTTTGAGAATCCACACACGCTATGTAAGAATACAGATATCCTCCCAATACTTTAGTAAACAGTCACCAGCTCCAAGGTTTTTGAAACCTTTGCCTAGGACTGAAGTGTCACTTTGCTCACTCGTGTCCTTTTCACTCACCTATCCCCTCACAACACTCTGTTCTGTTTTCCTCAGGGCCCCATTCCCTCGCACCTGGAAACACACACACACACACACACACACACAGGCACGCACACACAACCGCACACGCAAACGCACCCAATCTCTCACAGCCGTCCACAAAGTTATGTGGAGACTCACACGTTAAGGTGAAGCCCACAAGACTCTTTTCAAATCACGCTTTTTCCCTCTTCTAACCACATCAGGTGTTGCCCGTTCACGTTTTGCTCTTCTGGGATGCACCCGTCGTCCCGGACCCACAACCACAGTTCGCAGCCTTCCCCTCCCCCGCTCCCGGAGGACTTTCCAAATTCCCTCCTTCGCCCGCGGCCCCGCCCGCGTCCAGCCCTTGCGGTTTGCGCATGCCCGGAGTGCGCCGCCCCTGCTCCTAGCGGGCCGTCGCGCGGGGCTTGCGGCAACTCCCCCCTCGCTCGCGTCCGCGCCCCGCCGCGCGCCGTCCTTTGGGCACGCGCGTGCCCGCCGGAGGCTCCGAGCGGGCGGCGATTGGCTGACGCGGTGGCGGCGCCTCGGGCCTGAGAAACTCCGGGCGAGCGCGCAGAGTCCGCTCGGGGCGGTGCCAGGCGCGTCCCAGGTAAACGGGAGGAAGGTGGGGGCTTTGGGCGACCTCAGGAGGAGAGCAGCGGGCATAGACCAGCCTCGGGATTTCCGGCCGCGCTCCTCGGAGAAGGCGGAGCGGCCGCGGCACGGCCCCAGAGAGTGCCGGCCCCGCGTGGCCGGGGGTGACGGACGGGCACCCTCGCAGGTCAGCGCCGCGGGGTCCTCAGGGCACAGACCGCGCTTCCGGGCCAGGGTCTGGCATCGTCATCTCTTTGCTGTAAGAAGAGTTTAACAGCTGAATATTTGTTTAAAAGTGTAGGGTTTTGTTTGTTTTTCCCTTTAGTCCCGGCTCGTTGCAGGGTTCCAGTTGTGGCTCCAGCCCTGATCAACTTTGCGCCCTTCGCTTGCTGTTTTACGTTTCGGTTCTCACCCTTGCGTGAGCGAGCGTGCAGTGTTTCTTCTGTAGACAGACACTGTCCGAAGTGTTCCGGTTCACAGCGCCCCAGTCCCAGGGCCCACATTTCTCTGACTGGAAGAGGACACTCCCCAGCAGTGTTTGCGGAGTACTGTAAACTGTGTGGATGGCAGGAGCTGGACAAACACAAGATAGCTCGAGATACCGCGTCACAAGATTAGACAAGGATGGTACAAACAAACAACTTTCCACGAGAGCAGGCTTCTTCAAAAGCTCCTTTGGGCATTTTGTGCAAGTTAAGTCGCAGTGGCAGTAGACAGATGTAAGCCAAAACAAAACTACGTACATTTCAAGGAGGGTTTTTTGTTTTTTGTTTTTTTTCTTTCTTCCACGGATAGCGTTAACATACTAGCACAAGATACTGTGTTAGCAGAGTTTCTCCTTGGGATCTCAGATTGGTCCTAAAGTGACAGTACATAATCACTGCATACAATGCATTAATATCAATAAACTTAATTGAAACAAAGCTGACTTTTGTATGCGAGGTAGTAAGAATTAAGTTACCTTACTGGAGAAAAGTAATGATAGCAAATCACAAAAGTGAAAAGGAGATGTACACAGCTTTCCTTCAAGGGCACAGGGTTTATAGAAATCTTCCTCTTGTATTAATTGAGAAGCATAACAGACACACAATAAAGTGCCTGCATCATATGGGTACAGTTCATTGAATTTTTTTTTATTTTAGAAATAAAAGGAGGAAAATACTAACAGACCGACAACATTTTACAAAATAGCATAGGATCAGTACAGACATTACAGAGTTACAGAGTGGTAGGGAATTAACAATGCTTATTGTATTACATATTGATATCTTCAATGTAGTTTCGCATAGTTCATTGAATTTTTGCGAAGTGTGCATACACATGAATCCAGTATGCAGATCAAGAAAGCACCTGAAAACACTTGCGTCCCATAAGCCATACTTTGTGCTGGGTTTCTAAAGGTAATTGTTATCTCGACTTATAACATTATCAATGACTTTTACCTATTAATGAGTTTATATTGAAAGAGGCATACAGTATACAGATCTCTGGGTTTGACGTTGGTATTGTATTTGTGAGATTTATACCAGTTATATAAGATTAGTTTGTTAATTCTCATTGTTACACCCAGTATTTTGGCTATGAACTTTAGTATTTATAAGTATTACCAGTAGGGTTTTATAAATACTTTCATTAAGTTATGTATACATTTCTATGGGGTATATTCTACTAGTGAAATGGCTGTGTTACAGGCTATGCAGATATATATTTGTGCTATATACTACCATAAAGTGTTTCAAATTGATTGTGTTAACTTGCATTTCCACTAGCAGTGTATGATAATTTTGTTTCCTCCACATGCTTTGTAACACTTCACATTCTCTCTTTCATTTTAGCCACTCAAATGTGTTTAGGGTGATACCATATTGGGGTTTCCCCTTAGCTTCCTTAATAACTAGTGTTATTGAACATCTCTTCAATACTTACCGTTTGTGTACCCTCTGTTTCTGCAGGAGTCCAGACAGTAAATTTAGGCAGACCTTACTTTGTGGAGTTTCATTTAGCATAGTACTGTGCACAGTCCTAAAGCAAGGACTACCAGTTTGTTTTTAGATTTCACAAGTGTAAAACAGTCTATTACATATTCTTTTCTTCTTTCCTTCTGTTTTTAATTACCTTCCTGCCACCATCTCTTTCCAATCCTTAAAAATGTGAAAAGCATTCTTAACTCACAGGCTGTACAGAAATGGAGGTAAAAAGTATAAAAAAGTATAATGTACTTTTTTGCAATACTTTGAGAGAGAGATTGTCTTGTGAACTGTTTATCTTGAGATGGCTTGATTGCCTTTTCATCTTTGATGGAGTATTTTCATAATGTGAGAGGCAGTAGTCAGTGGCTTGGGCCTGGAAACTCAACTGTGATGCCTTGCCCAGGATGGAGGTCCTCTCTCCTAAATACTCACCTGCTCTTACTCTGAACTTTACGTAGTATCACCAAATGTTTTCTTCAGTACTATCTCAGTTAACACTTTCAGTTAACACCTTCTATTTTTAGGCGGATTATACAAGTGAACTTAGTATATATTTAGATGGGTACTAATGAGAGACTTGGAGGTGATCTCCATCAATTTGCTACCTTTTTTTTTTTTTTGGTCTTTTTGAGACAGGGTCTTGCTATGCAGTTCAGGCTGGCCTTGAGCTCACTCTGTAGCCCAGGCTGGTCTTAACTCACAATGATACTCCTGCCTCAGCCTTCTGAGTACTGGAATTACAGGCATGCACCACCATGCCCGGCTAACTTGGTACTTTCTTTGATGTGGATAATTGAGTGTTTTAGATGTCCTTAATTGTTAGCAAACACAGATTTAAGACAGACCCCACTTTTTTCCATGAAGGAATTACAGTCCTTAAGGTTTTCTTACATAGAAATTCTGGATAAGATAATGTGTTAGGCAGCAAGAGAAAACTAAGACATTGCTCTTATTTCAGAAAAAAAATTCAATAAAATAGGTCATTAGGAAGTTTTTAAGAATATAGCTTCCCGCTCTTTGTATGACTTTATTCTTTGTTCTTTCATTTTTTTCTGTTCTTTTTTCTTTCTTAAAGAAACAAGGTCTCTATGTTGTCCAACAACTTGCAGGCTCAGGTAATCTTCTCAGTTAGCTAGGAATACTGGCATGTGCTACACATTTGGACTGTATCATTTTAAATATGCTTGAGGATGTGTTATTTTGTTTTCTGAAATATTACATTTTAACCATCTAACCATAAATATCTTTTTAAAAATCTCTTTTTCGGTAGTTTAATTGGTAGGTATTTGTTTTTATGTCTAAGCTGGCAATATAAAATGGTTAGTTCAAAGGATTAGTTGGTTTGGTATTTCATAAAATGGATCACTGATGGGACAGATGTACTATAGAACTACTTTTGGCCATTGGCAGGAGGACCACTGGTTCTGATGTTTCCAGTATCTAAAGCATTATTAATTTAGATTTTATAGTGTTTGGGATGTATAAGACTTGTAGCATACTTCTGTTATTTGCAGTTCTGCATTAGGATGATTTGATTTCTGCATAAATATTACCCTGAGAATTTTCTGGATTTAAGTTTTGAAAGTTATTCATAGGCAAAGGGTTTATTTTGCTAAAACCCTTACTTCTGAATCTTGCCTTATTGTTTCTTATCAAAGCGTACCAACTTCTCCTCTTCAGTTTTTATCTGAAGATTTTGCTGCTATGGAACAAGTCTTGAAGAACTGAAAAAAATAAATGTATATGTAAATAAATGATATAAATCAATTAATTTTTTAAACTTTTATTATAAAATATAATACACAGAAATAAAAGAATGTAAAATATATATGAATAACTTAATAAATAAATGAAAAGCACCCATGTAACTACCATCACAATATTTTGATTTGAATGACATTGAAACTTTTTAGTACTTGATTTGCATATGGTTATTTAAGAAAAATGTTCTCTGTGTGTGTATGCATGTTGTCTTGGTTACTCTTTTCTCATTGCTGGGACAAAATATCCAACGCCCAAAATTTAGGAAGGAAAGGTTTATTTAGCTTACAGTTTGTGGAGGTTTCAGTCCATACTCGGTTGGCAACAAGGCAGGATGGCACATGGCAGAGGGCAACCATTTAAGGTGGCGCAACACAGCAAAAGCAACAAGCACAAAAGGGAGGAATGGCGGCAAGCAGCCTCTTCCTCTCCCTTACATATGAAAACTGTCCATCCCAGGGTGGGTGTAGCTCTCATACCCATAATCAATCAAACTCTAAAAGCCTGCCCCATGACCACATGAGGCTTTGAGGGGACACCCAGACACAAACCATAATACATGTATAGGAGAGATTATTCATATAATGGGTACACTGCTTTGTGTATTAAGTGAATTTTGTTAATGTTATTAAATTCTTTCCTTAATGAGTTGTATGTGTATGTGTATAGGTTTATCCTAATGTGCTTGTATGATAATTACTGTACTGACAATTTCCTGTGTGTTAAATCTCTTTCACTCTGTAGTTCTGTCAGTGTTTTATTTATTTATTTTGAGATCATATCATTCAAAACATATAACCTTAAGATTGATCTCCCTTACAGCTTGTGTCTAGGTGTTCCCCCAAACCTATGTGGTCATAGGTGGGTCTTTTCAGAGGAGGCTGGATCTAGAATGTGTGATGCTAAGGTTAAGTGTGTGATGCTGGGACTAAATGTACGTCACCCTGGGTGTAAGTGCTATGGGCAGGTAGCCTAGATGGAATGTAAAGGACAGAAAGATGGCTTCTGCTATTGCTTGCTGCTTGCTGCCTTCTGCCTGTCCTGCTTTGCCAATGACTGTGTCTCCTCTGCAATGCCCCTGTTCCATGCCACCCTTCCTTGGAACCAGCTATGGACTGAAACCTCTACCAACTGACTTACAGTAAACCTTACGATACACCTTTCCTCCTTTCACTTTGGGTGTCAGGTATTTTTTCTCAGCAGTGAGAAAAGTAATAAAGACAGCAAGGTTTCCTATAAATCAAAACTTTTCCTTTGTATCTCTAGTGATGCTCTGTTTTCATTG